AATATTTTTTCAAATCTCTTTAATATCTGGCTTAACAGAGGACAGCTCAAGTCTTATATTTGTGTCTGCATTCAATCTGTGTTACATTGCTTTGATTAAAGAATATGAAAAATCTGGTCTCATTCAGATTTATAGGTGAAAAGGGAGAAATATTTTAATAGCTTTTTAGATAACTGTGGATATTCTTCTTTGGCACTATACCAGAACTTGCTAAGCAGAAGTTTCTTAAAGGTTAGGTACAATGTGGAATCTGAAACCATTACCAACAAACTTTTTGTACTCAGTTACATTAAAATCCATTGGTCTATCTTGAAGTTTTAATGTATCTTTTATTCATGCATAATTTTGTACATGCATTAGGTTATTTGGAAATCACTGATTTACTGAGTTATGCAGATTCTCCATATGTTGACATATTTCATTATATAATATTTTTAACAACTCTTGCTAATTCCATCACCAATTTCACTAGAAAAATGTTTATTATTTAGGGAGCTGTTAAGGTCATGGTGACAAATAAGAGTTTTAAAAAATTCTTATTTTGCTCAAAAGGTTGAATTTTATCACTGACAACAAATATAGTCAGTTGTTTTCGTTGAAGGAATAGGTTTGCTATATTCATTCTTAAGAAACTATCTGCCAAACACTCAAGTTTGAACAACCACAATTGGCCTGACCGTTGTTCTTTCGAGTGGCCTATGAAAGAGAGGGCTAGCTTAAACTTTGCAGCTCAAACCATTTCACAAGTGTTTTACTTTGAGACAACCAACATACTTTGGTATGCAGCAGAAGTCCTCTATGTGTACTTCTCATTTCATCACACAGAATTTTAAAAAAAACACAAGCACTCAGGGGTTGAGATTTAATAAAATTTTAAGGACATTCTAAAGTAAAATCGGATTTTTTAAAAGCTCCTACTATGATATGGTGCCATGGCTTTGATTTGTGCCAAGCTGCAAGCAGTTTCACCCACTATTGTTTTTACACCATCAGTGCAAATGTCAACACAGTGAAAAAGACAAATGTCTTAGTATTACTATGAAAACAGTGACCTTTGTATGATCACTATTTGACCTTACATGGTCCATACTTGAAGAACTACTGGACTATTTTTTAAATTAAATTTAAAAAATTTTAAATGACAAATAATTATATATATTTATGGGGTACGATGAGGATGATCTTAAATTTTGGTCCCCTAAGCATAATTTGTAGAGGTCAATTCCTATTGTTAAATATTATGTTAGGTGCTTACAGATATTATCTATG